GCGGGTTTCTGAGGTGGTTGCAGCCCGCTACCTGACACCTGCACGACGGGGGCAGAGGCACAGGATCCTGGCAGAGTACTTTCTGGGTCGGTGGGCGGGGAAACTGAAGCCAGCTGCTCTGCCTGGTCTGGCACTGGTGCTGTCGGACAGAAAGGTTTCAGCTTCAGTGTAGTCTCAACTTAAAGCTGCTATAGCAAATCTGCAAACAAGCTAGGTTCTGAACGCAAACATCATCACAGAACACCCACCTCTCCCCTTGGGATCATTCCTGAGATGCTTCAGCTGAAACCGGAAGCCCATGTTGCTAGAGGAAGTGAGATGGCGCTAAACACCAGTCACTGCCATGTGACTTCAAATGGTGTTTTCTGTGGGACTTTGCTAGTTTGTCCAACAGCTGAAATGGTGTCAGCCAGCTGTTTCTGCTCAGCTGTGACTGAGCGGGTTCTCTCACACCAGCAGCGTTCTCCTGCTGAATACATGAGTGTGTGATGAGTGGAGGAGCCAGGGAAATGCGGCGGTTTGGAGAGACCGACATCAAGAAGGTCCCATGGTTGTTTTTAGACTAACGCAGCAGAACCACTTAATTTAAATGTCTCCACAACATATTTACAGCCATACCATGTTAGGATGTGGTCAAGAGGCACTTCTGAGCTCATTTGTTTTCCATATTTGCTATTGTAGTTCTAAAGGACAGACGTTTGTTTTGTCTTTCAAAACTAAACAAACTTAATCTTCCTAAACACTCACACCATCACTTCCTGTGTCGGTGCCCACTTCTAATTGGCTCTCTGCTGCCGCAGGTTCCGCCCCAGCCACTGTGGTTTGCCTTGGGAATAGCTAATGTCCGAAAACTCCAGGAGTTGTCCTATCACCTCCTCCATGCTGGCTTGTGGAAGGAGTTACGACAGGAAGTTATTGGTGAGACAAACAGAACAGTAAAGAGCCTGTTAAAACACTTCTCCATTTAGCTTCAAAATAAGATCAAATACAAACATTTAGAATCAAAATTGCATTTTTAAATCACATCTAAATGCTGAAACCTGAATGAGGATTTTAAACTAAAGTAGAAGCCAGATGGAGAAAGTCTTAGAGTTGGTTTGACCACCGACTGTTTTCAGGTTCTGCTGCACATTCACAAAGGATCCACATTGAAACCTTTAAGGCCAAAGCATTCAATCATCTGGAAATGTTTTAGTGGAACATGACAATGTAACAGAAGTTACAGTGTCTGTAGAAACCACATCATGTCACATTCTACCCATCTGTTCTGTGGGGTACCCCAAGGCTCTGTTTACGGTCCACTGTTGTTTCTACTGTACACACACCCTCTTGGACCGATACTTCAATTCAAATTCAAAGATACTTTATTAATCCCAGAGGGAAATTAGAGTTTCAGTACACACAATTCAGAGATCAGACATACATACATAGTATGCACACACACACACACACACACACACACACACACACACACACACACACACACACACACACACACACACACACACAGCCTGTCACTGTGACCTGATTGATCATGCGCCCTGGCTACCTGTACAGGGTAGATCTCCGTTTGGGTGACTGGTTAGCGTGCGTGACTTTCACCCGGGAGTCTGGGGATCGAATCCTGATTGGACCATTGTTTATATCCACCACAGATCTCTCTGAAGAAGTCAGCATTGACGGCTTCAGCAACGCTGTGCCACTCCGTGGATTTTCTCTTATTTGTTTAGCAAAAGCACTTCCTTTCATTTCTCCACCTCACCCACAGGTACCTCAACTTCTGCTTGTGAAATAGCGCTTCCTTGATCTGCCTTGATCTACGGTCGCCATGTCATTGGCGGAGCGCTGCAACAGCCAGCTTATGTATATGCATGAGATCCACAAGGCACTTTGCATTGACCATTTATGGCAGTAAGTGGGCGTGGTGAGGGGGGGTTGTGACTAAAAAGCAGCTGAGAACCATTCTGGTTAGTCTCTGATTTATGAAGCGGAGGTTGCGTGCAGCTGTGCGTCCTCCATGTTTGATAGGTCACACACCTGCTTGGTGTAAGAACATTTGTGTTGCTGAGCTTAAGTACGGTTTATAAAGGACTCTACGCCATGTTTGATAAATGAGACCCCTGGTCTGTATTGGAGTGTGAGTGGATTGGTCCTGAAGTGGAGGCGGAGCTTTTAGGGAGGTAGAAGCAGACGGACTACGCAATAGATTAACAGAGAAGTTCTGTTAGGGTGTTCTGGTCAGGTCCAGTGGACCCAGCCTCTGTTGTTCTGTGTTCACAGGCAGCGCTGAGTGGCTGTTCACCAAGAGCCGGGTCTGTGGGATATCCTGTGTGATCTCTGACCTGGACCACTGCTGCCAGTACATGGACTGCTCTGAAACTGGGCTCATCCGTGATGCCCTGGTTCTGATGAAGCCCAGCATGGACTTTCTTCGTGGCCAAATGGGTTGGTGTCAGTCATTTAGGATTGTGGGTGGTTCTGATGTGGCTGACCTTCTGTGGTTCTTTTCTCTGGTTCCAGACAGGTCTCAATTCTACTCTGAGCTGCTGGCCCGACTGGACCACCTGTCCTCCACCTGCCCATCTCTGATTGGCCAGCTGTGCAGTCAGTGTAACACCTGGCTCCAGGCGTGTCCAGAACCAGTTCTGATTCCAAAGAGTAGCTTCCTGCAGCAGCCAGGGGGCGCCCTGCAGCACACTCTGAGCGGCCCACACGGAGGTCACCTCTGCTTCCTGTTGGTAAACAAACCTGCTGGACTCACACAAAACTGACCTGCTGTGTTTCCAGGTGTGGTCTGCATGGACATCAGCGCCGCAGCCCAGGTGCTGGTCTCGGGTTCTGATGATGGCGTGGTGGCGGTCTGGAGCCTTGTGGACAAACAGCTGGTCCACATCCTAGTGGGACACACAGGTGGGTCACCTGGTGCACAGCTAATACACCTCTGAGGTCAGAGTTTAAAGGGAACTTCCTGTTCCTGTCCTGCAGCTGCCATTTTCAGTGTGAAGGTCTCTGGAAGCTCCGCCCACTGTGTCTCAGTAGCTGCTGATGGCTCTCTGAGGAGATGGAGCCTAAAGAGTGGCCAGCAGCTGCTCTGCATCCAGGAGGCAGTCCTGTTAGACTCCGCCCCTCCATCAGTCCATCTGCAGGTGTCGGAGCAGCTGATGTTTGTTTACACCCAGACACAGGTAGGTGGTGGGCGGAGCCAGTTTCAGTCCACAGTGCCTCCGAACCGCTCTGGGTTCTGGTTCCAAGCCCGGTGGACCTGCTTTGATGTCGTTGCAGGTGAAGGTCTGGAGGTCCGACGGGGCTGAGATCCACCTGGACAGCAGGGAGGAGACCTGGATGGTTCTGGGGGTTCTGGGAGATTCTGTGGTGTTCCAGTGCAACGACGTGCAGATCAGAATTTGGGATCCAGAATACAGAAGCGAGACGTTGGTGGCGGATGTGGAACGACCAGCGATGCGTCTCACTCCGGTGAACAGCGTGGCTTTAGCCAAACATGGACGTGTGCTGGTGGTGTCTGAGGAAGGCTTCCTCCATCAGGTGCTTCTAGTCAACACATGAAACTGTTGAGCAGCTTAGAACTGGAGGGTCAGGGTGTGGTTCTGGTTCCGTCCTCAGATCTCCATCACGGGCCATCAGAGAGCTTCAGAGTTCCTCCTGCGACCATCTTTCCTGTCCGTCTCTGAGGATGAAAGACTTCTGCTTGCAGGTTTGATTCTGCAGCACAAGCCCAGAGATGCCAGAGCCTTCAGATGGGTTCTCGTCCTTTTAGCCTCAGTTCCACGTTTCCATACCAAACGCTAAAGGAAACCTAAAGCTGTCCGATGTGTCCCGGTCTCCAGGCTGTGAGCAGACACTGACCATCTTCAGCGTGGACAGCGGCTCTGTGGACAGGATCCTGGACCTGCAGCACGAGGACAGCGTGCTGTCCGCCTGCGCCTCTTCAGACAGCAGACAGCTGGTCTCTGGAGCTGCAGACCAGCTCATTCGGGTGAGTTTGGGCTTTGGGAGCTGAACGACTCCAGGATCCTGCCGAAGTGAAACCACGTGCTTGTTCTCCTCAGATCTGGTCTGTGACCACCGGAGCGCTGCTGGACTGTCTGCGTGGCGCCGACGTCGCCGTCACGTCTGTTCTTTGCTACGACGATTCTGTCATTTCAGCATCAACAGCAGCAACTTCCATCAAGATCTGGAGTCTGACGTACGACACCCGCCACAAACCCCCCGCCCACATCCCAGCAGGCTCCGCCCACGTCGCCATCACCAGAGAGGGTGATCAGGTTTTCTACGCCCACCGTCAGAGCCAGAGGGAGGTCTTCAGCTGGAACTGTCACACAGGTCAGAACCCCCGGTCCAGGTCAGACTTTCTGCTAATCCTTCAGAGTAAAGACGATCCTCCTGACCTTCTGAAGGCTTTGAGGAGTTGGGACTTTGGCCGATCCATGACCCGGTTTTAGTGAAGTCTCTTCTGCAGAAGAACTGAGTCTGAAAGTCCATCAGAGTGGTACATCAATGACCAGAACCAGTGGGTTCATCTAAAACCACTGAAGGATTCATAGAAAGTCTGAAGGACCTTTACTCTGGGCTGTTCTAGTTTGGGTCACAGGTTTTGGATCACACTGAGCTTCAGACTCAGAACCTGAATCTGGACCTGGTCTCTCCTCTGCAGGGTCTCTGTCGGACCATTTCCCAGTCTCTGCTGAAGTTTCCTGTCTGGAGTTGGCGCAGCAGAAACGTTTGCTGGTCTGTGGTTTGATGAGCGGTACCGTCCTAATCTACCCTGTTCGTCTGCCCCAGGAGACACTCTGCATCCCGCCCCCAGAGACCCCAACCCAGGTGCTCTGCCTGGCCATCAGCTCTCAGGAGAACCACATGGCAGTGGCCTATGAGGACTTTGTGTCGCTGTTTGAGATCACCAGCAGAGACAGCTTCCCCACGGTGGAAGGCCCCCTGGGAAGGATCTCACTGTCCCTGCTCCACGCTCCCCTGTCCTCCATGGCCCTGCTGCCAGACTGCAGGATCCTGTATGGGACCAGATGTGGTGAGGTGAAGCTGGCAGACTTTGGTGGCGGTGCTGGCTTCGACCTGCAGCCTCATTGCAGCCGAGTCACTTGTGTGACTGTCAGTACCGGGGGAACACACGCCCTGGTGGGGTCCCAGGACGCGGTGCAGAGACTCTGGGCCTTGGACCCGCTGGTCTTGGACCACACTGTGGAGTGCAAGGTCAGAGGGGACCTCTGGTCATTTTTGATGCCGGTTCTGTTGGGGCAGCAGTAGCTCAGGAGGCGGTGAGGGTCAGAGGAGGGTTGTGGGACTGATCCCATGTAGCGTGGTGCGTTACTGTAAAGTGGTTGAATGACGCGCAGCGTTTGTCAGGCTGTCTGTCCGCCACACCGGTGGCGTATCGGTCACTCACACCGGCTCTTAAACCGACCGGAGCCGGCGTCGGCAGCTGCACCCCCCCCCGAGCAGGTTTACCTACGGTAAACATTACCACAGCACCATCAGGGGGTTGTTGGATCGGAGATGAGTGTGTTCTCAGCGCTGCACTCATCTCTGTGCACTCTCTAAGGCAAGCTGTTTTAACATTTAATCAACAATTGGACCTCTCTGTGTTTCCTATATTGGACAAGACAAGACAGCTTTGTCCGTGTAGCACATTTCCTGCAACTCAGTGTGCTTAAATATACTTTTACATCCAATTACTTCATTTATCTTAGTACTAATAATATTTTTATTTGTCAAAATTGCAAACGAAGACATCAGCAGCTATGTTGTTACTATAGAAACTACCGTAAATCCTCTAATACAGGCCCGGGCCTGTATTTGACTCAAGCTCATCAAGCTCCAGGCCTCTATTGGAAGGAGGGCCAGAATTAGAGGTAGGCCTCTATTTCTATTTGAGCAAAATGAACTAATGGTTCGCTGGAGTTTTTGACCATTAAAATTGCGCCCACATTTTCAAAGTTAAACACATTTCTTTTAACAACGGTAGTTTCTGCTTCAGCCCTCTCCCCCCTCCCCCTGCTTCAGCCCTCTCCCCCCTCCCCCTGCTTCAGTCCTCTCCCCCTCCCCCTGCTTCAGCCCTCTCCCCCCTCCCCCTGCTTCAGCCCTCTCCCCCCTCCCCCTACTTCAGCCCTCTCCCCCCTCCCCCTGCGCAGCAGCAGCAAACTCACTGATGCACCTGCAGCCTCTCGGAGTTCCTGCTGCTCTAAACATTAAAATAATTATTTCATTTTCTGGTCCTCACTTCTGATGACCTTCAATGGTGTCTGTTTGTTGCAACCAGCAGGTACAAAAACTAACTTGTTTATATTTGACTATTTTTCTGTCCTGTCTGTTTATTATCTTCCTGCATCTCCTCTCAATCCTAAAGAGAAACTGCTACCTGGGTTCATATATATTCACCTCATGAGTTACCTTTGAACTGCAGTTCTAAAAGATCTACCGACCGCTAAAACAGCGGAGCACTTGCTGTTTGGCGGCTGTGATCAGTGCGTCACCGGATGACAAGTTGATGCGCCCCGCTCCACAGCAAAACGCATCAGGCACAAATAAAAGACAGAAAACATCAAAGGAAATGAACCGACATGAACGACTGCGTGTTAAATAATTTGGCAACACCTGATTGTTATTGTGGCCGTGCTCAGGAGGCAGATTACCGACCGCAAAAACAGCGGAGATCTCCCTGCTTGGCGGCCGCATCAGTGATCGGTGCGTCGGAGGACAAGGTGATGCGCCCCGCTCCACAGCAGCGAAACGCATCAGGCGCAAATAAAAGACAGAAAACATTAAAGGAAATGAACCGACATGAACGATCGCGTGCCAGTACCGACGCTGTGGCAGAGCGCGTTGCCCCCCCCCCCAGCGCAGGAGCTTGTCACCTGCTGACAGCAGGCTGCTGTCTTTTCCGAGGACTGCATCTTGCCGGTCATTATCACGTGACAGCGACTAGTCGACGACAGGCATAAAAAGTCACTATAGTGAAGTCGACTAGTTCATACACCCCCTACTGCTGCTCTCCAGAGTGTTCTGCAGCGCACGTTCTCTTTGAACTTGATATCAGCTCCTCTTCGTCTCCGCACGTTAAAGTTACCCTCGCGGTCTATCACTGGCAAATCAAAAGTGAGACGATGACACAACCGCCCCCGTACTTGCTTGTTACCACATTCCACCCGGCCACAATAAGAGACCGGCCATTATTCACCTCCGCCGACTCCGACACCGGCCAAAATTGGAGACCCGGCCTTTAATTGAATACCGGCCTGTATTAGAGGATTTACGGTACGTAAGTGGCCCAACACTGCTCCTTGGACCAGACTCGTACCCTTCCTTCCTGCTGGTGGTGGTTGAAGAGACCGGCAGCGCCTGTGCTGGCAGACACCTCTGTCGGTCCGTGAGCCCCAGGCAGCTGTGGCTACTTTGTAGCTCATCACCACCTGGGTGTGAATGGATGAATAATTCATGTTTATTTATAAAGCGCCAAATCACGACAAGAGTGGTCTCAAGGCACTTCCCATAATAAACATTCCAATACAAGTAATTCAGCGTAGTGCAGAGCTGGATTCTCTGATGCAGGAAGGTGCTTTACAAATGCAGCTGATTATTCATTCATCATGTTCTGATGTCCTGGCTCCATTTCTTCCTCAGGGTTTGTTCTCCGAGGATATCCTCTGTGCTTGCTTCTCTGACAGCAACCGCTTCGTTTTCACCGGATCTCAGGACCGGACCATCAAAGTCTGGGACGTAGCCTCAGGTAAGAAGGCCCTTTCTGAGAACAGCACAAGTCATTTTCCACACAAATGATGTACAGAAAAGTATCGGGCCAAGTGGCAACTTCAGTACACTGTGCCCCTGGTATAAGCAGATTTAAAAGACGGGAACTGCAGCGCAGCTTGTGAGGTGGTTCAGAACGCCTGTGCTCGGCTTCTGACCAAGTCCTCCAAACACACCCACATCACCCCGCTTCTCCTCCAGCTTCACTGGCTGCCAGTCAACTTCAGGGTTCATTTCAAGATCCTGGTTCTGGTCTATAGGGCCTTACATGGACAAGCACCATCTTACATTGGTGATCTTCTTAGTCCCTACACCCCCAGCAGGTCCCTGAGGTCCACAATGCAGCTGTTTAGGAAGGTTTCAATGATTCTTGCCATCTTTTCCTCCTCGCCGCCGCCTTTAGAAATGACCAATATAAGAATGTTTGGAGGGACCGGTGTGTACGGCAGCCTCCTCCGGTCCAGGGCAGCTGTGGTTACGATGTAGATAATCACCACCAGTAGATGAATGGATGAATGAGCCGTAGTAGTTTGAAGTGCTTTGGAGTCCTCGTTTTGTCTGGGTACTTCAGTCTTCTCCAACAGCTCAGAGCATCAATAACAGGTGGATTATGGCTGCCTCCACAGCTGTGAGCCACACCGGGTAAAAGCTTCTGCTAAATAAACAAACTGGGTCTGTCACATCGTTTAACAGCTCTCGATTTTCTTCCTCCAAGGAAAGCTGCTGCTGGTTCAGTACGTCTACTCTCCTGTGGTCCGCATGGTTTCAACCAGAAACGGGTTTGTGGCCTTAGCCAAGCAGGGTTCTGTCATCAGAGAGGAGTTTCGCTGTCCAGAGCACATAAGTCCAGAACACAACCCTCTGAGGAGCGTCAAGGCCCAGTACCGGGTCACGTCCAGGGAGAAGGACCAGGAACAGCAGCAAACCTGTGTATCCGACCTGCAGGACTTCAACCCGGCCCAGCTGGACCTGAAGAGCATGTTCAGGACCAAAGCCTCACCCACATGTGTTCTCCTGTAGTTGAAGCGTGGTGTTGAAGAAGGCCGTGAAAGGTTAAACAGCGTTTACAGCCTGCTTCATCAGTGTGCCACTGGTTAACTGTCTGGTCTCCAAACCAGACCACACACTGCTCCTGACCTTGCCCCCGGGAGGTCGAAGCCATAACAACCTCTCCTGCAAACCACAAGGTCTCCTCACAAGATGTGACTCTTTATACTTTTATTTGGTCTCATGAAGGATTTCCTAACTTTACCAGTTATTTACAATCATGGTTTGTTTGATCTAAAGTGATTTAATAATGTCTGGACTGCTTCACAGTAATGAATGAATTAACATAAATGTTTATTATTTTATGCCTTACTTCAGATCTGAAATACATCAAATGAGTACTTGAGCATTTAATGATTTATTATCAGTGTATTTACATATTAATATTGGTATATTAATAAATTAATGTTTATCCTATTTGCTTAACAGATGAAGGAAATGAGCCTCTGAGTGTCTGAGGACTCGTTACCGCCCCCTCTACATTCTCTGGCTCCTGATTTGTCCAAAACCTTTAAACACAAAATCCTAAAAGAGAAATCACTTCCTGAATTTGGGAGTTCGGGCAAGCTGTGCCAGAAGCATAAAGAACAGAACTTTGATACTGAAACAACTTCCATGTTTGGCTCGTTTTAAAACACAGAAAGGTTTCTCTTTACCTTGCTGGCGTACGCTTCGTTTGCCGACTGTAAAACCTCCTCAGAGCTGACGCTGATGGTGGCGTCGCTTCCTACTCCGTTTATCCGTGGGCAGCAAGCGATGCTATCACCAGCGTCAGCTCTGAGGATGTTTTACAGTCGGCAAACGAAACGTACGCCAGCAAGGTAAAGAGAACCCTTTCTGTGTTTTAAAAAGAACCAAACATGGAATTAGAAACTAGACACCGTAAGAACACACCAAAGACTGGATAGTTATTCATTTGATAACTTGTTAAACCTCATTAAACATTCAGACATCACACCTTTCTGAGTGACTTAAGCTCTTTAAACATCAGGTTTCATCACAGTTCCTTTATTGTCTCATTTGATATCACGTTGTATCACCACTTATAATCATTTATTCTGTATCACCATTAGTAGTAAAAATATAGTAATAAATAGATTTTTATAAACTTTATCTTTGTCTCTCACATGATTGTTAAGTGTTTCCCTGGCATACCCAAATGACCCAGTTTCATCATCAATCAAATATTAAAGGCCCAATAATCGGTATTTGAATGTCTGAGCAGAAGACTCCAGATTCCTCGACCATTCAGGGAACATGCAACGTCAGACGGAGTCAAGGACATAGTTATAACCATGAACTGAATTCTATTTTCCTAAACTAGTGATTATACAGACAAAGGATGAATGAAATGATGGGATGTAAGCTAGATGTTTGAAGCAAAACCTTGGTAAGTATCTGAGAGATGTTGTGATGTCTGGGTTGTAAAGTCAGTTTGGCTGCATGGCTTGATGAGCTAAAGTTTGGTCATAAAACCGTCCGACACCATCGTGCAGAGTCTACATTACCACTTATGTGACTGTCGCTCTTGAGCAATCCAGGTAGGAGGCAGCCTGGTTGGTGAGCTCGCCGGACGTCGTGGCTACAGGAATCTCAAACAGCCGTAGTTCCCTTTGAATTCAGATCACCGGCCAGAAGATACCAGGGTCTGCAATTTAGATGTTCAACGTCTGAGGTGTAGGGTTAGGGTTACCGCTCACAAGCATCACAGAGGCTTTGACCCTGGGGTCAAAAGAGCGGATGGTTCCAAATACTTTCAATTCAACTCAATTCAAGTTTATTTATAAAGCGCCAAATCACGACAAGAGTCGTCTCAAGGACCTTCACATAATAAACATTCCAATTCAGGTCAGTTCATTAAGCCAATCAGAAATAATGTTTCCTATATAAGGAACCCAGCAAATTGCATCAAGTCACTGACTAGTGTCAGTGACTATACAGCAATCCTCATACTAAGCAAGCATGCAGCGACAGTGGAGAGGAAAACTCCCTTTTAACAGGAAGAAACCTCCAGAGGATCCTGGCTCAGTACAGAGCTCCGGGAGTTGACGTCACTTCTCCCGGCATGCAACAGTTCAAATCGAAACGGCGCCATATTGGCAGGCAGAAGCCAGCAGCTGGACTATTTGTTATTGTCAGAAAATTCAATCAAACGGGAAATATGGTAGATTCCTGTTGTGCCCCAGGATGCAGAACAGACACGGACGACATAAGGAATGAGCCATCTACAGGATTCCCCAAGATCCGGAGCGCCGCAAACGTTGGATCATCGTAATAAAACGCGCTAGTGACCGGGCTAAAATGAAGCTGTGGGACCCCGAGAGTAAAGGTTTTCACTTATGCAGCGACCGCTTCATATCAGGTACTTAAACCAACGTTTCCTCAACTGTGTATGGTATTTATTTTAAATGCTTTTATTACGATTCTTAGTGGGCTTCCTAAACTTATTTTGGCGGGGCTTTTTCTGTCTTATTACTCATAGCAACAAGTAAACATCACGTAAAACGTTGCCTCGTGAGTTCTGCGTGCTGCCGTTTACGTGTTTTATGATCACAGCAATTAACCGGCTAAGCTGTATTTAATTTTTAAGCAATGGTTGATCAATTGTCAGATCACACATAAAAAGCACTTTGGATTGCTATTATCTGTCTTACCGTTTGGACCAGGTAGACGATAGACCACAGCACAGTAGAACGGGTCCTTACGCCCGACTTTAATCAGCTGCAGTTCAAAGGAAGCAAAGTGACCAGAGGTTGTAGAGCTACATGGAAGATGGTCTCTGAAAACAACAGCTAGGCCTCCACCACGACCAGAACCCCGGGGCTGGCTAAGAAAAGAATAACCACTCGGGCAGAGTTCAATCAGAGCAGAATGATCAGATGTTTGCTGCCAAACTTCAGTCAGAAACAGAAAATCCAGGTTTTTAGAGAGAATTAGATCATTGAGCAGGAAGGACTTATTGTTAACAGAGCGGGTATTTAATAGAGCCATGCTGAGTGAGGTGGAGGAATCAGAAACTACAGAAACAGCTGGAGTTAATGGACATATATGTGGAAGGTGATGTGGTGTCTGAGCTAGGATTGCTGTTAAAAACAGTCAGATATCATAACAGTGCTTTAAAATGATTGTTTATTAAATAAAAGCAACAACAACCTGTACTCTCAGCACGCTGCCATCTTATAGGGCCATCTGAGCAGGGAGTGAGGTGGTGGGGGCTCCAAGCCTATATTTGCCTTGGTCCCCAAATGCCTTGATACGGCCCTGGATGTGGGACTGACTTCTGGGGTGATCTGATTCTATCACATGTATAAATATTAAATGCTTATATATTATTGCTTTTCACTGGTAAACATGTGTATTGGGGATAAATCTACCTACTTTTTTCTTTTCAAGCACTTTGTTTTGTTTTCTTGATTTTATTTGAATAATTTCTGGCCCTTTCTCTCTCTAACCTTCCTGCATGCTGCATGTTTTCTCCGTCTTCCAGAAAAAACTGTTTCCTAGATTTCCTACTTTCTAACGATCAGCCAAAGGGATCTTCACATGCGCGGCGCTCCAGCAGTAATGAGTTGAAATCACCGGGGCCCAGATTAACTCAGCTGAGGCAAAGCACGTCAGAAAAGCACAAAATACCAGAGAACATGCGCTGATATGAACGATCGCAAGTGAATTATTTTGTTTTAGTGGAGCGATTTTGTGAATGTTGCAGCGGCCGCGTGCAGGAGCAGCTGGAGTAGTTGAGCCGTTACCGCGGCGTCCTCTCTGCCCGCAAAGCTGAGTCCATAAATGACGTCATATATGCAGATACTGGATCTTTCTTCGGGTTTCCCGCAATTTGAATTTTTAAGGAACACATCTTGATTCTGGGTTTAAAATGCATTGTAATTACTGCGTTACTGACAATTGTACCGAGTAAATATTACCATTTTCTTTCCCTGTAATGCCTTACATTACCACATTACAGCAAAAAGCAATGCATTACAGTAATTAATTACTTTTGTACCGCGTTACTCCCAACACTGAGTATTAATAATAATGACGTACATTTCATGGTAGTTGTCTTCCAGTTTCCTGTGAAATTAAAAAAGGTCTGAATAGAAAAACTCCAACAGATCCAAAGAAGTAAACTAGAAATGAAACACGTTTGAGTTATCTTCACGATTTTCTCAGACATGGGGAGGTGAGGTGCATAATTCCATTTTATGCATGAGTAGGTTGCTCCAGTGTCAGCTAACACTGGGACCGATTTTCCTTCTATTTTAACATTGATCATTGGTTCTCTATCAGCTTTAGTATTGGAATCGGTAATTGCCACCTACAGGGCTCTCGGGGCATTACTAGAACCCTCGTTGTGATGCCCGTGGATCAACTGGACCTCCTCGTCCCCGGTTTGGTCGTGTTTCATGACCACGCCCAGACCATTCAGGGTTTGGAAGTGGATTCTGACAGTCAGAGACAGGTGATCCATCTGGCCACACCCCCAGCATGCACCTGAAAGTGGGGGTTGGTTCTGTTGCACCCAGCCTTGTGGTCCAGGCTGCTGTCTACCAGACTGGCTTGGGTAGACAGTGATTGCCGGCTGAGATGGAGTTTGAAGTGGGGCCACAGGTGCCTGCAAAGCTCGAGTTTGACCAGCTGGCCGTACAGTCATGATTCTGCTGTCACTTTTGACTACTGCTGTTTGGGTCTTAGCCTTGGTTTGGGGTTCATTTATATGCAACTGTGTACGTTTTCTCTGAGCACACTTTTCTTGCACAATCATTTTATTAGTCTTTCCAACAGCGGTCCACTGCGTGGACTACATGGTCTCTGACCTGTGCGTGCAGCATTGAGTCCAGTCCCACAACATCCTCTAGGTTATTTCCTACAGGAGTTGGGAGAATAGAAACCAGGGATGTCCGCGAAAGAGATGTTGTTCCTGGCGTCCCATCAGGACCCTCCTCAGTTTCCAGCTTCCACCTTCTGAGCCGCCAGTCTACAAATGACGCAGGACTCTCAGTCTCTATCAGTGGTTCACCTTCCAAGGCTTTGGGGTCGGTCCTGTTGGGATACGCCGCTCTCAGCATGTTCCAGAGCGTGTTTCTGTGCGTGTTAAATTCCCTACCATCAGCCATCGGGTCCCGCATCCAATCCACAGGATGCAAGCAATATTCCCATGGCTAACAACTGGAGCCAAAATGGTTTTGAGATCTCCAAGAGCGAGCATTAGCCCATTTGTCTCCTGCTGGATGGTCCTGCTGATGTTACCAAAATGTGTTTTCTGGAAAAGTACAGAACGTTCGTAACGTCCCAAATCCACGAGGTTATCCCAAACCTCCAGGAAACATCTGCTGCCTTCAGATAAGGTAGCCTTACTGGAACGGGTTAGTTAGTACATACCAGGACGCTGGCTCCCTGAGAAACCGTTCAGCCTAGGTTCTCCTACATTTGAACTAACGGAATAAAACTGATGCGTACTTTTTGATGAAACAGCTGTTGCTCTTTATTTGGTGCAAATGTCCAAAGAAATGTCTCCGAAAGACTCTTTTAGTGCATTCATCTGTGATTAATGATTCAACTACACATCACTTGTATTTCTCTGTAAATGACACAGAAAACATCTGACTTGATCAAATGTTCAAAGAACATAATTCCCTGAAAGATGCACACAGAAGGTTTCACTCAAGCGTCTGATGAAGTCAACAGAAACGGCCGCTCCAGGCGACCGGCGGACATCAGTTCACCCTCAAAACACCAATTATTCATCTCAAGAAAACGTTGTGTGTACAGAAATGGAAGTTTCTGTCCAGCCTGGCATTGAACCCACAACTCCTGCCCAAACATAGAGGCACACTTTTCATTTTCAGTCCTACAAGCTTGAACGGAGGAATGTGTGTGTTAGCTACCAGCTACACGCTAACGGCTAAATATGTTCATGTTGGGGAGAAAACACACGCGAGTCTGGCTTTCGTGATTTTTGTATGAACCAGATAACAAGTGTTCCACTTAAACACCTTTGGAGGCTCTGATGTCCACCGGTCTTGGCTCCTGGTCTCTGTGGGGACAGCAAGCCCATGTTCAGTCACTCTTTCCGTCTACGCCGGCGAACAGCACCACCTCCCAGACCTCTGGCGTCCGTGACATCATCAGTAAATCTAACGTGAGTCTGATGATTTTATCCCCTAAAGTTTCAAACCTAAAGTACATTGTGTGGAAGACTAGAGGAGTTCGTTGTCAAGGCAACATGTTCGGAACCAACCAGAACCCGAGAGTGAGATTTATCGCAGAAGTATCCGGACGTCTGAGCGTTAAACTAAAAACTACGTGAGTGGTTTTTGAAACGTGGAGGTCGAAGCGTCAGATTGATTCTGAACAAAAGCTAGTTACTTATTTACTGTTTCATCGTATCTAATCATTTCTCTGCAACACCGGCTTCACCGGTACGATTACCTGCCTAACAACGCACAAGTATCCGGTTGCTATGGTTACCCCAACAAAAGAGAAACTCTGACAGACACGTCGAGTGTTTTTGACCGTTAAACTAGTCTTGAGGCGGTTTCATCACACGAACCCCAAAATCCCCAAACCTGGATCTGGTTCCGAAACGGGCCCATCTGGGTTCTGTTTACCGTGGTTCCTTCGTGCACGTGTCAACATCCAGAATGAGTTCCACTCTCCTGGGAATGTCGCACCAATCAGCGCTTTCCCAAAGCAACAAGAGACTTGACCTCTAGATGGCAGGGTCAACAATCTGGTCCTTTAAGGTTTGGATCAGAGCAGATCCCAGTCAGAACCAGAACGAGTTTGTGGACAGGTTCTGTTGGTTCCACTGTCTCAGAACCAGCATCTTTTAGGTGGGAAACAGAACCTGTGGAATCAGAGAAGACTTTATTTAATCTGAGAGTAACTACGTGTCATACATCTGTCTGTGGGTCTGCAGGGACATCTGGGATGGAGACCACCAGGGTAGGACACCTGAGAGGTCATCTGACACCAGGGTCACACCAGGGTCACACCAGGGTCACACCAGGGTCACACCAGGGTCACACCAGGGTCACACCAGGTACAGGTAACGCAGGAAGAGTTGGTCCTCATGAGTCCGTCTGTTTCAGTGTTTTTTGCATGTTGGGAAACTCAGATTTGATGATCAGCATTGACCTGAATTCCATGAGTCGGACAGCAGGATTCATGTGTTCATACGTGCACAAGCATGCAGGCGTGCTGGTGTTAGGACAGGACGTCCAGCGTGACGGTTCCTCTCTGCTTCTTCAGAATGGTGACTGCCTGCTCGTGGGTCGCCCCTTGGAGGCTCTCTTCATTCACCGCCAGGATCTGATCGCCCCGTTTCAGACGCCCATCCACCGCCGCCGCGCCCTGAAACAGGAACACAAAACAGACTCACTGCTGCATGTACAGGTGTCACACCTGTAAGCACCGTGAGAAGAGCGCTGGATGGATCCTGGATTCTGACGCGGGCTGAAGGCATCTACAACACGACACGTTGATCATTCATGCTCCTGGAAGCACAACAACGGATTGATGCGTAGAAATGAACACACTTCCTGTCTAAAAGATCCCGATGGTGTAGCTTTAGCTACCAGCTCTAAGCTAACAGCCCAGTGATCACCAAGGCCTCATTCATCAAACATTCATAGAAATATTCCTTCCTATGAAGGAAATTTAGAATGTTTGTAGAACGCTCAAAACCCTGATTTATGAAGCGTGCGCACGTTCCTCCGCTGTCGTCTGATGATGAATCCCACCTGTGTGTAGCCAGGTGCACGTGTCCGTTCTCAGTCATACAGAAACACCCTCATTTAGACTGTAGCTGTCTATCGTTGCTTAACGAGCAGAAACTCACTCTGAAAACCCCTCCTCCTTCCCCCTGAGGCCATGAAATACAAAGGTTAAGACCCTGTCCACAGCCCGTTTCATCACCGTGCCACAGGTGAACGGTCTGGTCTCCAAACCAGAAACATCCTGCTTGTGACCTCGCTACTGGGAGGTACATCATAGCAGGATCTGTGATTCAAGTCAGAAGACTGGTCAGACGTTCCTACGTTGCATTATTGTAATAACGATGAAAAGTCTTCCAGGTGTTCTGAACTGACCTTACTGAAAACCGTCTTCACGTAGATTGGAAGGTCTCCATGTGGACTTCCAAAGCCTCCAACAATGCTGAAGCCAAGTCCTTCAGAGCCTTTTTCCAGAGTGATGCTATGGGGACGTGGAACCCTGGGAATAAAGGTTCAGAGGTTAAAGGTTAGAGATTAGACTTATCTTTAGCAGACACTCCGCTGTGTGAGGTCTCACTTCTGTTCAGCTGGGATGTGTGTGTCGGTGCTGGCGGACAGACCACTGGTGCTGGTCAGATTCTCCACCTGAGAGGCCACGGCACTGATATTGGTGTCAGCCACCACCTGAGGCACACACGCACACATGAGCAGGAACACACACGTACACACACACACACACACACACACACACGCTCACACAAACATAAACACACACTGAAGCTTCTGATTGGAGGAACTTAGACTTGAGGAGTACGTTTTTTCAGGTCCAAACAAACCAATTACAAACACTCAAGACCATCTGGAGTCTCTAAAGCACTCCCTCAGAGACCTTTAATGTGGCTTTCACATCGGGCCCGGCCCGGATCGGTCTTGGCAGCATTGGCACACCCCTACTTGGCCAGGTTTTGTTTACACCACGTCTGTGGTTCACACAGCTTTCTCAGGAATGAAGAAATCTCCAAGCATGTGGGCGGGGCAAAAACAAGTGGAGCAGTCAGGGTTGTTCTCCTTAAGTTAGTAAGGACAGACTGCAGGTCTACTGGTGGTTCCCAGAATATCTAAAAATAGGATGGGAGGCAGATCTTTTAGCTATCAGGCTCCTCTCCCGTGGAACCAGCTCCCAGCTTTAGTCCGTGACTATCTGACAGACTTTAAGAGGAATTAGATCACAAAGAGTAGGAGCTCAAAAAAACGTGTTACTACCAGGACCGGGCTGGGCCGGGCCGGGCCGGGCCGACCCAGATGAGAAAGCCTCAATTAGAAACATGTTGGTACCACAACCCCATAGAGTATCCCAAAGACCCGGTTTCTCTTGCTGAGGTTCTTGACCTGTTCTCAGAGGGCCCGGTTCTGACTTAGTTTATTGGATACCGATCAGGACTTACCTGAAGCCTGATGACCCCAAAGCTGTTCTTTAACATGGTGACCACATCGCTGTGAGACAGGCTGTCCACAGACTGGCCGTTCACGCTGATGATCCGGTCCCCCACCTGAAACACAGAAACACACGTCTACAAGATGGAACGGGCCGGTCCGCTCACAGGAGCTGCTTTTCCAGGGGCCTCCGCAGCCGTAAACAGCTCTGTACAGCCTGGTTACTTCAGCTCACCCCAGTGCAGTCGCGTTTCCCTGCCAGCTCCGTGACAGGAAGTGTGTGAGCCCCTCATGGACGTGGGGGCAGGGGGGTTATTACTCGCGCTGAGGTGGGGGCTGGTGGTGGTCAGGCTCTGAACCAGGAAATGGCTGCAAGCTGCGAAGCAGCAGGCAGATGACTCCAGAGCAACACACACACACACACACACACACACACACACACACACACACACACACACACACACATCTCCCGGTTCTTCGACCCAACCACACGCTGGGGTCTGAGACGAGGAAAAGACGCGAGGTGAAAAGGATCGTAACTCTTGAACTACTCTGGGCGATCCGGGGCCGTGCCCATGCTCAGTTACCCGATGAGGGTTTCCCTTCAGCACGAATACCGATATTCACGGGTTTTACTCGTTTTATGCTAGCACTCGTCAAAAGTGCTTCATCCGTACCGGATACTCGTCTGAAACTCTGCTTCGTTCCTCTGAGATGCTGAAGACAGTAAAGATGCTACACCGATGTCACCGATTCTGTTCATAACTTTAATGGACAGGATTTCTAGGAGCAGCCAAGGTGTGGAGGGCGTCTGTTTTGGTGGCCTGAGAATCAGGTCTCTGCTTTTTGCAGATGATGTGGTCATGTTGGCTTCAACAGAACGTGATCTTCAGCTTTCGCTGGAGCGGTTCGCAGCCGAGTGTGAAGCAGCTGGGATGAGAATCAGCTCCTCTAAACCTGAGACCACGGTCTTGAGTCAGAAAAGGGTAGAAAGCCTTCATCGGGTCAGGGATGAGGTCCTGCCCCAAGTGGAGGAGTTTAAGTATCTCGGGGTCTTGTTCACGAGTGAGGGAAAACTGGAGCGTGAGATCGACGGGCGTTGTACCGGTCTGTCGTGGTGAAGAGAGCTGAGCCAGAAGGTGAAGCTCTCAACTTGGTGGTTGATCTACGTTCCGACCCTCACCTATGGTCACGAATCTGGGCAGTGACCGAAAAGACAAGATCATGGATACAAGCGGCTGAAATGTATGTCCCAGATGGGGTGAGAAGCTCGGTCATCTTGGAGAGGCTTGGATCAGATCTGAACCAGCTGATGTGGCTCAGCCTCCTGGCTGCTCCCTGGTGAGCCTTTTTGGGCGTGCCCAACCAGGACAAGACCAAAAAGGAGACCCAGGACATGCTGGAGAGACTGTTTGTCCCCTGACCAGTGAACACCTTAGGATCTCCCCTGAAATGCTGGTCTAACTCTCCTGCGGCGGCTGCCCCACGAGCCAACCTCACATACGTGGAAACGAAGCCTTTAGAACTCAAACCCTTTAACATTAGAAAACAGATGAGACAAAAACTAAATTCATTTCATTTATAAAGCACCTTCCACTACTTCAGCAGAAGCCCAGGGTGCTCAGCACCACAGCATCAATAAGAACAACAATAAAAGACAGTAACAGTAAAACAGAGTAATAAAAACCAGAGCAGGGCATAAGTGCGTTCTCTCGTTCGACTTAAACACCTGCAAAGATGGCGCTACATACAGAAGTAGAATAAAAGTGGATAGGATGTCACCTAGGGGTTCTCAAACTTCTACATTTGACTCGAGAAACAATTTAGCCGGGTCGTGACCCCAGCATCACCGCAGGCCACGAGCTAAGTCGTTCTTATTCTATTTGAAAGTTTTATTCAGGATGACATTTTTTCTCCGGATCCGTTTAAAATCACAGTCGTGCTCAATTTCCCATCACGTAGCCAGATCAGAGCGCCCCTCATGGTAAAATCTAAAGCCCTAGGTTCTGTTTTGTTAGCTTCTCC